ATGTACCAGGGTTTACGACCAAAATGGAACAACTTTTTACCAATCGGAAATTCTACTTTTGCTCCTACCGAAATTTCCGGGTTCTTTTCCTAAATGGAAAGCGCCCATAGTGACCCGCGCGAAAAGCCTCTGGAGCAGAGCGCTGTTGCACGGTTAAATCAGTTGGTTCAGATTTTGGACACGAACGACCGCCTTAGGGACTTTGAATCTAACAGACGCTACAATTGATTGACAAGAATAGACCAGCACGTGAAAGAATATTTCCAACTTTGCTGTTAACTCGCGAGAAGTGTTGTGATGGCGGTTTGGAGATTTTTGAACCTGGGGGGGGGGGTACTCCCATACATTACCTATACGGGTATGTTTTATTCAACGCATTTAAATTTTTATCACCAATTCAGCTTTCAGAGCAATACGGTTTAAGCTTTACTAATTTCCTATTTCAAACGATTACAACATGTTTTGAAATAGTTTGTATTGATGGATTAGGAATATAAAAACAAAACATGTATTTTTAGTATAAAAAGGGGGTCGGAAGGCAGCTCACGACTTTTACCTTACGCCAAAATGCTGCTTGTTTCAATGAATTTTTTTCCGTGATGGGTAGATTATGCTCCGGAGAAAAACATTTTGACTGAGCAAATTTGTTTTCTGCCGATTATTTCATACTGAGAGGTCGTGACACGCATATTGAATTTCTGCGGTTATTGAGTCTGTTCGGCATATGGTTTGCCCTCTGATGCAAGAGCATTTTCTTTGACCTCTTTTGAAATGTTAAGCTCTTCAATGCGGCTAAATAAGGGTTTTAGGTTGTTTAATTTCTCCAAAGTGCCTCCCGGATCTGAATAATTATAAGTGCTTTTCTTTTTGTCCGTGAAAGTGACAGTTTCCTGCAATGTTTTGTCACGCTGGGCCCAGCTCATTAGCGTTTTTAGCAGGATGTTTAAAAATTCTCACGGATAGTGATTTTCAGATTCAAATCTCGAAAAATGGATTGCAGCTTAAACTGAAGCTACATCAACTATGGAGAACTGCGACGTGACCCAGTCATGGTTGCTCTTAAAGCAATTAATTTTAAACTCGAAGTTGTTTTTCTAAGGATATTGTGGGTTCTTTGGACATTTCTTCATGTGCCGGCCCACGTGATCACAGTAGGAGACTTTCAATCTGATTTGCATAAATGTAATCCAATAAAAAAGCTCAAAGGTCAACGGGGATCATAAAAACCCCCCTGCTCAGTGCCAGAGGTTTTTCTTGCGGCTTCGGCCGACACAAAAAATTCCCACCACACATGAGAAAAACCTCTGGTACCCAGGGTACTCTGTCCCTTGTGTCCTCTGTGTCCCCTAGTGTACCCTTGTGACCCCTGTCTGGACCTTGCCTCCCCCTGTCTCCAACATGTCCCCTATGTCCCTGAGTCCCTTGGTTCCCCCGTGTTACCGAGGAAAACACCCTGTGTTACCCTATGTTACGATAAAATTACACTTTGTTACCCGGTGTTACCCTCGTTCCATTGTGTTACCCTTATTACCCTCTGTTACCCTGTGTTACCCTGTGTTACTCCATGTTACCTTTGTTACCCTGTGTTACCCCTTGTAACCCGGCTACCCTTGTTACCCCGTGTTACCTTTGTTACCCTGTGTTACCCTTGTTAGCCTGTGTTACCCTTGTTACCCTGTGCTTCCCTGTGTTCCCCTGTGTTGCCCTGTGTTACCCTTGTTACCCTGGTTACCCTTGTTACCCCATGCTTCCCTATGTTACCCTTGTTACCCTCTGTTACCCCATGTTACCTTTTTTACCATGTGTTACCCCGTGTTACCCTGTCTTCCCCTATGTTACGATTGTTACCCTCTGTTAACCCGTGTTACCCTTGTTCCATTGTGTTACCCTTATTACCCTGTGTTACCCTGTGTTACTCCGTATTACCTTTGTTACCCGGTGTCACCCCATGTTACCCTTGTTACCCCATGTTACCCTGTGTTACCCCTTGTTACCATGTGTTACCCTTGTTCCCCTGTGTTACCCTTGTTACCCTGTGTTACCCATTGTTACCTTTGTTACCCTGTGCTTCCCTGTGTTACCCTTGTTACCCTGTGTTACCCTGTGTTACCCCGTGTTACCTTTGTTACCCTTGTCACCCCGTGTTGCCCCTGTTGCCCTGTGTTTCCCTGTTTTACCCATTGTTCCCCTTGTTACCCCATGTTCCCCTGTGTTACCCTTGTTACCCTGTGTTACCCTGTGTTCCCCCATGTTACCCTGTGTTCCCCCATGTTACCCTTTTTACCCTGTGTTACCCTTCTTACCCTGTTGTACCCTGTGTTACCACGTGTTACCTTTGTTACCCTTGTTGCCCTGTGTTACCCTTCTTGCCCTGTGTTACCCTGATTTACCCATCGTTCCCCTTGTTACCCCGTGTTACCTTTGTTACCCTGTGTTACCCGGAGTTACCCTATGTTACCCCGTGTTACCCCTCGTACCTTGTGTTACCCTAGTTACCCTGTGTTTCTCCGTGTGACCCTGTGTTACCCCATGTTACCCTTGCTACCCTGTGTTACCCTTGTTACCCTCTGTTACTCTGTGTTACCTGTGTTACCCTGTGTTACCCTTGTTACCCCATGATACCCTTGTTACCCTCTGTTGCACCGTGTTACCTGTCTTACGCAAATAACAATTAACATTTTCAAATTTTGGATTCACCTTGAAAATCAACCTCCTGACAGCATCGCTAAACTCTGCTTAAACATATCGGATAAAATGGCCGAAGAAAATAAATCAGGTCTAATAAATAAAATAAATCCTTTGAGTACACAACTTAATATTCTTAATATTTTAAAAAAACCCTTCTACTTTCCTATCCAAAGCTGAGAATAATTTGTCAAAACATCTGAAAAACCACCAGCTAAATTTGATAAGAACAAATAAACAACTAAAATTCTACTCTATCTTTAAAAATGAAACAAATCACTCTGAATTCATCAATCATATCCGGAATCCTGAACATAGGCACGTAGCTTCCAAATTTAGGATAGGAAATCATAATTTAAAAATAGAAACTGGAAGATTTACAATCCTTAAAACTCCTGAAGACCTTAGAATCTATGATTATTGCAACCAAAATTCGGTTGAAAATGAACTGCACATATTATTTCATTGTGATCAATACAATGATTTAAGAAAAACTCTTTTTATTAAAATCAACGACCGAAATACATTATTTACACATTACAATATCCATGATAAAGTCTGTTTTCTTTTTAACAATACTGATTCACATATCAGCAGGCTAGCTGCTAATTTCATCTTTCAAGCATTTGAAAGACAAAAGAAACATAGTTAATTCTACCGTTCCATCATATCTGCATTTCCTTAAACTTAGCTGTTTATTATTGTTATTTTAATTGGTAACACCTGTACAAAATGGTAATACTAAATAAACTTGTTGTTGTTGTTGTTGTTGTGTTACCCTTCTTACTGTGTGTTACCACATGTTACCCTTGTTACCCTTGTTACCCTGTGTTACCCCTTGTTACCCTGTGTTACCCCGTGATATCCTTGTTACCCAGTGTTACCCTCTGTTACCCTTGTTACCCCGTGTTACCCTATGGTACCCTTGTTACCCTGTGTTTCCCCGTGTGACCCTGTGTTACCCCATGTTACCCTTGCTACCTTGTGTTAACCCTGTGTTGCCCTTGTTACCCTGTGTTTCCCCGTGTGACCCTGTGTTACCCCATGTTAACCTTGCTACCTTGTGTTCCCCTGTGTTACCCTTATTACCCTCTGTTACTCCGTGTTACCCCCATTACCCCATGTTACCCTGTGTTACCCAATGTTACCCTGTGTTACCCTTGTTACCCTGTGTTACCCTTGTTACCCCATGTTACCCTTGTTACCCTGTCTTGCATCGTGTTACTTGCTCACACTGTGTTACCCTTCTTACCGTGTGTTACCCCATGTTACCCTTGTTGCCCTGTGTTACCGTTGTTACCTTGTGTTACCCTTGTTATCCCATACTACCCTGTGTTAGCCTGTGTTATCCTGTGTTACCCTCTGTTACCCTTGTTACCCTGTGTTACCTTGTCTTACCCTTGTTACCCTGTGTTACCCCATGTTACCATTGTTACTCTGTGTTACCTTTGTTACCCTCTGTTACCCTGATTACCCTTTGTTACCCCTTGTTTCCTTGTGTTACCTTTGTTACCCTGTGTTACCCTGTGTTACTCCGTTTTACCCTTGTTACCTTGTGTTACCGTTGTTACCCCATGTTACCCTTATTACCCTGTGTTGCCCTTGTTACCCTGTGTTACCCCATGTTACCCTTGTTACGCTGTGTTACCCTTGTTGCCCTCTGTTATTCCATGTTACCCTTGTTACCCTATGTTACCCTTGTTACCCTGTGTTACCCTGCGTTACCCTTCTTACCCTGTGTTACCTCGTGTGACCCTGTATTACCCCATTTTACCCTTCCTACCCGGTGTTACCCTTGTTACCCTGTGCTCCCATGTGCTCCCCTGTGTTGCCCTACGTTACCCTCTGTTCCCCCATGTTATCCTCTGTTCCCCATGTTACCCTTTTTACCCTGTTGTACTCTGTGTTACCTTTGTTACCCTTGTTACCCCGTGCTACCCTTCTTGCACTGTGTTACCCTGCTTTACCCATGGTTCCCCTTGTTACCCCGTGTTACCCTTGTTACCCTTGTTACCCTGGGTTACCCCGAGTTTCCCTATCTTACCCCGTGTTACCCATCATGCCTTGTGTTACCATTGATAGCCTGTGTCTCCCCGTGAGATCCTGTGTTACCCCATGTTACCCTTGCTACCCTCTGTTACCCTGTGTTACCCTTGTTACCCTGTGTTACCCTTGTTACCCTGTGATACCCCCTGTTACCCTTGTTACCCTGTGTTATCTTGTGTTACTCAATGTTACCCTTGTTACCCTGTGTTACCCTGTGTTACCCTGTGTTACCCTGCATTACCCTTGTTACCCTGTGTTATCCCATGTGACCCTGTGTTACCCCATTTTCCCCTTGCCATTCGTTGTTACCCTTGTTACCCTCTGCTCCCCTGTGCTTCCTTGTGTTGCCCTGTGTTACCCTGTGCTACCCTGTGTTACCCTGTGTTAGCTTTGTTACTCTATGTTTTCCTGTGTTACCCAGTGTAACCCTTGTTATGCTATGTTCCTTCATGTTACCCTTGTTATCCTGTGTTACCCGTGTTACCCTGTGTTACCCCGTTTTACCCTGTGTTACACCTGTTACCCTGTGTTATCCTTATTACCCTGTGTTCCCCCTTGTTACCTTTGTTACCCTATTTTATCCCATGTTACCCTGTGTTACTCAGTGTTACCCTTTGTTACCCCAAGTTACCCTGTGTTACCATGTGTTACCACGTGTTACCCCGTGTTACCCTTGTTACCCCGTGTTACCTTTGTTACCCCATGTTACCCTGTGTTACCCTTGTCATCCCGTACTACCCTGTGTTACCCTGTGTTATCCCGTGTTACCCTCTGTTACCCCTTGTTACCCTGTGTTATCTTGTGTTACCCTTGTTACTCTGTGTTACCTTTGTTACCCTGTGTTACCCTGATTACCCTTTGTTACCCCGTGTTACTTTTGTTACCCCGTGTTACCCTCTTTTACTTCGTTTTACCCTTGTTACCCTGTGTTACCCTTGTTACCCTGTGTTAATGTTGTTACCCCATGTTACCCTTGTTACCCCATGTTACCCTTGTTACCCTGTGTTACCCTTGTTACCCTGTGTTACCCCATGTTACCCTTTTTACGCTGTGTTACCCTAATTGCCCTCTGTTACCCCTTGTTAACCCTTGTTACCCTTGTTACCCCTTGTTACCCTTCTTACCCCATGTTACCCTTGTTACCCCTTGTTACCCCTGTTACCCTTTGTTACCCCTTGTTACCCCTTGTTACCCTTGTTACCCCTTGTTACCCTTGTTACCCCATTTGTTTTGGCCTTTCAGTTAGAGTAGCAATGCAAACCCACAGCTCCTCCAAAACCTTTAAGGACACTTTATTCATTCACTAGTCTTTCAGGAATTGAAATGTATAACATGAGTCTTATTTTCTACTGTGGATAAAGATCTGGTCAGGAATCCCCAAATTTTGCTCAGCTTCTTTTTAACTAGGTTGTTCATTTTTACTGCAAATATCATGCTCGCTCCCAAATTTGTCTTTGATACCCTAAAACGAAAGGATTTAAAGAAACGTTCTCTACGTCTGTTTTCCAAGACGTACTCCTTGTTACCCCTTGTTCCCCCTAGTTCCCCATATTTACCCCTTGTTCCCCTTTCTTCCCCTTGTTACCCCTTGTTATTCTTGTTCCCCCTTGCTACCCCTTGTTACCCAGTGTTACCCCTTGTTAACCCTTGTTACCATTGTTACCCCATGCTACCCTTGTTACCCCAT